GATTGGTGGTGACTTGGCGGGACAGCCTGGCGTCCTCAACATTCACCCCGCATTTTAACACAGATCTACGATTGTACCATTCACATTAATTTAGCAGTGCTAACCTTCAGTTACTTTCTTGTTTATTTGTATATTTATGATCCAGTTTTATCATAACAAATTATTCGACCACGAAAATATTGTTATAAAAAAATATATAATGGATTTCAATCTTTTTTGTCTTTATCCAAAAAAATTAATGAAATAAATTTTGATTAAAATCTATAAGTCAAAAATTTACTTTTTGTAAAGGATGCTTTCTTAATTGCTAGGGACAAGATGCTAATAGTTATGTACAACTCTTTCTTCTTCAAATTGCCAATCCTTCTCAAGAGTCGAGAAATTCGTTAGTGAGAAAGTAGAATTGAGTTTCCCTTCGCTCGAGCTAATTCTCGAATTCTAGTCGAGGTTATAAAGGTTAAGATACCAAGATGTTTTAGCACTCCTTGTCATATTTTTTTAGTTCCCTCTAATTAGGATTTTTCATTGATATGAATGTTGGTAAAATACTTGAACTTGGCATTCTAGAGGTTTTTACACAAGAGTAGCAATTATTCATTGATGAGTCGAACAATCATATGAGACTTGTTAGTTAGCGATGGAGACAGATATTTAGGGACAAATTTTGGTAAATCAATAGTAGGCAATTGAGTTACAAAGAATCTGCATTTTGGCACTATTGATAGATGGATTTAGATGGCGCTAGATATTACTAAAAATAAAATACATTAAAATCTTGGGCACGTTACACTATTCAATCATATTTATGTTTAGTTCTGAAAGTTGAAAGTCAAATGTGAAGTTGTTGTTCAATTTTAGTCTCTGTGATTGAATCAGTTGAGAGCTTAAGTGGTGACGATTTATCTTGTAGTGGATGTTAGGAATTTGACTTCGATTATTTTCAACTCACGATCTTAACCCATACAAAGCTATGTGGTAGCACCCATTTTTTTGACATGGAAGTTCTATTTATTATTATCCTTTATGAAGGTTGATAATCTATTAATTTAGCAGTACTTTGGAAAGTCTTTAAAGATGAGGTCATTCCAAACACGCTCAAATAGTTTTGTTTCCCTTTTTTTAAATAAAAGTTCAATCTAATTGGTACATTTCATGTACTTACATATTCATAAAATATTATCATTGTAGAAATTTAAAATTATATTGTAAGCTAAAAAGATAAAGAAAGATGGTAAAAAGTGGGCCCGCACCTCGACAAGGGACATTAGTGAATAAAAATTATAATGGTAAGTTGACCTAGACTAAAGTATTCCAAGGAGTCATGGGTCAGTCATGTTCATGTCTTTCGAACAAGGTCCAATCTCGGTCGTGATCGTGTTTTTTTATGGGATGAACCATCCATTTTGATACCTCTATTCGACTCCCTACCTAAATCTGCAATGGGCTCCTTGCAAAGAAGAGCGCACGAGATTCTTCAATTTTAAAACTGAAATGTCTTGAATTCGTAACGATTAATGAGTAATCAATATTTTATGAGAGAAAATTTTAAACAAAAATAGTTCTCATAAGTCGAATAAACTGATTGAAAGTTGTATAATAATTGTTCGTGAAAGGATGAACGCTAAATTTTGTAGTATTAAAGCTTCTATTTTTGTACTCTAGAAACTGTCTTGATATTCATTTTGGGCTGTTAAGATATAGACAATTGTCTTCTACCTATCTATATATATATATATCGATTAAGTATAATTTTTATCCACGTATTTTTAAAATCAAAAATTTATTGCACATTTCGTATGACTACAATTTATAAGCACTTCAAAATATTGATTTTTGCCAAGCATGCACTAAATTTTGAGTGATGTCGACATGTGTATAATGCCTTTTTACTTATAATATAATAAGCCGTTATATTATAAATATGAAAAATATAGTCGTTATAGATCCCACACAAGAGATAGAAATTCAAATTTGGTGGCTTGATGTGATAGATAACAGTCATATTTTTCATTTTAATGAGAAAAGAATGAGAAACAAACGGGGCATAAGAACTCCATCGAATTTTGTGGATTTATTTAGCTCCATGGATGTTATTTTATAATTGGTTGATGAAAATATCACAAATTTAAATCTTTTGCATTAATGCACTATCAACCTTGATTCTATTAAAAGTTCAGACACTTTGTCCAATTTTTTGCTTCCCACTTTAATACGAATTATTGCGGTTAATAGATCATATGTTTATTTTTTGCACATCAACTATTTTGAGAAATTCCTTCTATACAAAAGGGAATCAAAAGGGGTGAAAAAAAGAAAGCTAGGAAATAAAAGAGATATAAGATGGACTTTACATTAGTAGGTTGAAATGAAAACAAGTGGGAAAATGAGCTCAAAAAGTGAGACTTCTTGATTTTATTATAAATAACACGCGAGTATTCTAGTCACACACTTAAATATTTCTAGAAATTGTCTTTTCAATTCCTCAATCATCGTACTAATTGTAGATGTTCGAAATCTACTTTGATGATTTACATAATCTTCTACTATGTAGTACTATAACGTTTGTTTATGCCAAGTGATGATGTGACATTCATGTGGCAGATGCACCACACAAAGAGAAGCGTGGCACATCCTTCACTAAAGAGTAGAGCACATCGATTCTCTTTTTACGTATTTTCACAAATGATATCTTTTGCTTATTCATATAACAAATAGATCAATGTCTAATTTAAATGGCACTCGACTATGCAGGACTTTGAAAGGAGGTTTATCATGACATGAGCCTTATGAGATCTAGTGACATTGAGTCACTGTTCATCCAATCAATTCTTGATATGTCATCAATAATTAACTTATTATCTCAAATTTACCTTCATTAACTTCATCACTAACCTACTAAATTAATGATGTATCAAGAATTAATTGGATGAACAGTAGATCTTAACTCTAGTGACACCAAAGTTCTGCAATTTAATTCAATTAAATATGAATTATAGTGAGATAGGTGCCCTTGCCACAGAGATGATAGTTTTCAAAGAAGTGCATACACCAATCGGTTACGTCTTTCAACCTTCGTTATTTAGCACTAAACATTTATTTCACCAACAAAGGCAAAAAATAACATTGATTACGGAATCCTAAAAGTATCAAACTTCACGTGATTATAAATTTCCGGACAAAATATATTCCAAATGTATGCTTATAGTTTTTTATTTCAGCAGACTATCCTTTTATTTTCTTGAACTTTTCTATTTGTACACTTATTTTTGACACGTTGTTTGACACTTGTATTGTTGTCAAGTGTCAATTGGATGGAAAAACTGTTTGAAATTTAAACTGTCTAATAGGTTAATGACACGTGGCAAAGTGTAAACTAAAGTGTACACCATAGTATACATATAGCAATGTTCTATTTTCTTACATCCGAACATCCGAAACTTTATCTAAATACATTTTGGACAAAAAATGGCGCTCAAAGAGGAAATACTCTGGTCTGCGATATTTTAATGTGTAAGTGTATTATAAGGGCAATAACAATCAAATAAGACCATTGTTTGGTTCTCATTATTTTTAAAATACATTTTTCTCTTTCCTATTTTCAATCAAATATTTTTTAATAAAATAATATTATACGCAAACTCAAAATATTTTCTTATTTTTTAACACACATTTCTCATCAAAATACTATTCAAAAATGCATTTTGGAGTAAAAAAATGAAGCTCAAAAAGGCTCTTATCACTTCGTTACAAAAAAAAAAAGAATAAGAACTTTGCTATTTTTACATTGATTTTTGACACTTTGGCTTACATTTACATTATTGTCAAGTGTCAATTGAATAGAAAAACTGTTTGAAATTTAAACTGCTCAATAGGGTAATGTCATATGACAAAGTATACACCATAGTGTACATTTAGCAAGGTTCAAAAAGTAATTCAGATATAATGCGACATACTTTATATACTTGAGTGCAAAGGTATCACATAAATTGCCCATATCTTACATAAGTTGCGAAAATATTATTTTTTGGTAAGTCATACAGTTCATACAATGATTGGTTCCACGTAGTCGCTAATTCACTTTTCAAAAATTATTTTGGGGAGTTTGTTCTCACGTTACCTAGTAAGTCCGTTGGTTAAGTTAAATCATGTCACTGTTGAGAATGTTGCTTATATAGTTGGATTTCGATTGGGGATTTGTCAAAAATTCTTGACCAAATAGCCATGTTATTACATAAGAATTTATCGATCTAACAATTTAATAAAAATATGATGTCTAGTTGATGAAGCGAAAATATGAACAAAACACAACCTTAAAGCACTGCCATGATCATTTTGACATCCATTGACAGCAAATTTCACAAAAGGACAGGACAACCTTTTTCTTTTCAAAATTTGGAACTAACCGGATTGAGAGCCAAATCTATTTCAATTAAAATCCACAAGAAAAAAGAGGGAAAACTTTTGTATAGCCCGGCCCCTCAAACCAGGGGTATTTACGTCAATTTACAATGTCCACATCTGTACTCCCTGAAGCTATTTCAGAAAACGGTCAATCGCCGACTTTACCATTTCGGCTTTACGGTTAAACTGAAGCCTAAAAGGCGAAGAAATCTAGTGGCATTCACGTAAATAATACCGAAATAAGAGGGTATTTATATATTCATCAATCATAATAAATTCTACGAAGATCCAACTTTGCCATCTAGAAAATCCCCAATTTCCCTGAGAAGACTCTAAGCAGAAGAGCAAGAAAGACAGACATATTTTCGATAGAGAAATTTAGAGAGAGATAATTGTGAAGCATTTTCTGCGGAGAAGTTGTAGACAGAGAAAGTGTGATAGAGAGAGTTTTGTGGCATTAATGGCGGAGGAGAAGCAAGGCGACGAGAGCGTGAAGCTGTTTGTAGGTCAAGTGCCAAAGCACATGACTGAAGATCAGATTCTCGCAATGTTCCAAGAGTTCGCGCTTGTTGACGAAGTCAACATAATTAAGGATAAGACTACGCGTGCTTCTCGAGGTTTAATTTTTAACTCTCTCATTGCATGCTTCCTCAATTTGTTTTTGGATCTCAATGCATGATTTGAGTTGTTCTTTTATAAGATTTGTGGAATTTTATATCGTAGTCTCTGGGTTGGAACCCTAATTTGGTTGTGTTTTTTGAAAAGGATGTTGTTTTGTGATTTGTTCGTCGAGGGAAGAAGCTGACAAAGCAGTGAATGCATGTCACAACAAGAAGACGCTTCCTGGGGTTAGTATTTACCCTAATTGAGTTTTTTGTTAATGTTAAATTCTATTAATTGCTTAAAATGGAAAAGATTACTTACATTAATTAAATGTAACTTGCAGATTATGTGGTGCGAGAAGTGTCTGATTTAGACAGCTAATTGCTCTTATATGAAAACTTTGACAACTGTTGTATTTAATGAAGTTGAAACTGTTTGAATTAGTTTTAGGGCCTTGCATTATTATTTTTGTGGCTTTAGAAATAAGGAAGATCGTCTCATTTATGGGAATTTTAAATTCAGAAGTAGCTAGTACTGATAGGATCTCTAGTTAGGTTAATATTGACTAAAACTTTAGATTCAGGTGTAGCAGGATTAAGTCACATTGTAGGTTAAGAGCTATTTCGAGGATGCTACAGCCCCTACATATGATCTGGTAAGTAACTTTCAATGGTTATGTGAGGTTTTGTCTAATAAAAAAGGGAAATTGGAACTGGAAATTAAGAATTTCATGAATTTTGATTTCATTTTGATTCCAATTATGCGGTGCAAGATGAAGATTTTCTATATATTGGAAATAGAGAGCTGAAAAGAACTATAAAGTCTTGTCACAAAATCATAGAGTAAAAGAGAAATAGGTAAGACATTTTTTTTTATGACCATGGGTGTCGTGGCCAGTTTATGCGCACCTCGACTAATCCCACGGGACCTGAAGTTTACAGTCGGTACTCACCTTAGTGACCCTAAGGGGATTCGAACTGGTGACCATTGGGGAGCAAACTCAAGGTCTGACCATTGAGCTACTTGTCAGGGTTAGAATAGGTAAGACATTTGATCAAAAATTTGTGCTGTTATAATTAGAAACAATTGAGAAGGGAAATGAACTTTTGTGGTTACTAAATATAAATGTTTTAGAGCTTTAGAATTTTTTTCAAAGTAGATTAGCACATTGAGGAAGAAGTAAACGTTGTTTGAATAGTGTGCTGTGGAAGTTGGAAAAGGAAAATATATAAAGATTTCTCTATTGCACCATAACCAAATTGCCCATAGCTTGATTAAGAGCTATTTAACATATATGATCCTCCTATGCACTGCAATTGCATGCCTATGTGTACATCTATTTACACATATAGGTTTCAATACAAATCATGGCGACACACAATTTCCTTAACAGGTATCTCAAAAATAGATTTATCTTGAAGTTATAGACATTTAAGTCATCACTTTGTCACTGTTCCTAGTTAACAAACAATAAAAGATGAAATTTTAAAATTTAGGTTAGTAACAATATTTTAGTTCGTACAACAAGGTTTTAAAGGTTTTTTGGTTAACAATACCACTCTTATAGGTTTTAAGCTCTAATGTTCGGACTCTTTAAAATGGTCAGAGTACCCGTGTCGGACGCGACACGAGACGGGTATACATATGGAATATGTGTCAAATCCTCTAATTTTCAAGTTTCAACCAGATACTTCATCGTTTTTTCTTCTTTCTTTTTTCTTTCCCTTTTCTTCATTTTTTTCCCTTTTTCCCCCTTTTTATCGATGGTTTAGGGTTTTGTTTGTATAAAATGAAAATAAGTTCCATATAGTGCTACTTAGTAGTCCACTAAGTTCAAATTGTAATTAAGTCCCTTATTTTCTATTTTATATAACATTTAGTAATTAACTTTTCATAATTGAAAAGCTAAACTTCAATAATTTATTTTATTCTTCTTAACCCCTTATTCAATACTCATTTTCTTTTTTATGAACAATTGATTTTGATCTATTCAAAATGATATCTTTGATTAGTAAAAAAAATGAAACTTGAAAGACGTAACCACGTACCCATATCTGAAATTTGGACTCTTTTTAGCCCTGTATTCATATTCAACATTTTAGAAAATAAAAGATTCGACACTTAAATATGTACCCGTACCCGATACTCATACTCGAGTCTGAGCATCATAGGTTTTAAGGTTATATGTAAAGCAATGATAATTTCTGAAACTTCCTTCTCTGATTTTTCCCCTTCATTGTCTGTTTGTAGGTGTGTGCTGGAGAGCATTTTGAGCTTAAGTAGAAAACCAAGAGTCCCTTTAACATGCTAGAGCTGACATTGTTTCCATAGGAGCTAACCGTAATCCTATATGTTCAACAAGTTAAACTCGTTAGACTACCTCTATAATTGTCTAAGGAAAGGACATTATTAATGTCATGTGATATCGGGATATGACTGAATGAAGTGAACAATTATTTTTAGTGGAGCCGATTTATAGTTAAAAGTGGCTCTGCTCGGGTGAAAGAGTCAAAAAACCACACATTCACATGCATGCAATTGGGGGGCAATTGTTATTCCTTCTCTAGAATCTGCTGCTTTATAACTTTTTTCGACGCGTGTAGTCACTGGTGAAGCTCATGCCTCATGGAGTCCAGTGGGGGCGCCTGATACCTCTGGATTTATGAGGGACAAAAATATTAAGGAGGTGTTTGGGAGAATTTTTATGTAAAAATGCATTTTTGAATAGTAAATTGATAGAAAATGTGTGATTGAAAAATAAGGATTTTGATTTACGTGTAATATTATTTTAATAAAGAATGTGTGGTTGAAAATAAGAGAGAGAAAAATGTATTTTAAAAAAATGGGTACCAAACGGGGCCTAAAGCAAAAGATTCAGGATGAATAGCATTGTGTCACCAGTTTTGTTTTGTATGACTTCTTTCCACTATTTATCATTGTATCTAGATCTCCATCACCCTTTTTATTTTTGTTCTATATTATTTATCAAAACTTGCTTACCTTGTCCTTTACAATATTACAAATTTTCATTTTGTATTCATTAAGTACTATTGTGTTTCTATTTTTATAATTCTATTTGATGTATTGACATCTTTATGAAAAGATCTAATGCAACAGAATCTTTTGCAACCATATTATATTCTTCTAAAGCAAGACATCTTTTTACCATATCAAACTAAATTTCCTTATGTTATTGTCTTTTTTACGTCAAAATTAATGTGGAACTAGCACGTGGTCACTCTTTTGTTGGTGCAGTTTCACAAATTATTAAAAGAAAGAAATAAATTTTGGTTGACATAAATTGAGAAAGATATATTTCATGATGTTGATGATGAATCATTATACGAAGTTTTCTCAGTTTGAAACCCCATAGGAAATAATCGTAATCTTTCAAAAAAAAAATAACAATTTTCTTGAGTGCCAAATAATAAGATTTTTAATGTTCTTGTTTAATTATTATATTTTAAAGTATTTCATTTTAAATAAAATCACACCCCAAGTGAATTACATTTCTGGCTTCTCCCTTGTGTGTAGTCAATATAACTTGGCATATTCAATTATTTTGACCAAGCAATTTTGTAAAAGTGTAAAACAGGAACGGCTAAAATGTTTATGCTTTCTTGAACTGTATTATCACACAGCCAAAAGAAATGGGTTAATGAATTTTCAACTTGCAAACCAGTAGCTGTCTCCTTTACTGAATTTTCTTGAAATACTAAAGTGTTGCTATCTACAAGTCCTTGGAAACTGAAAATCTATAACTCTTTAGGCCATCTCCAGTGTCGCATCAAATTTTGCACCAAATTAAAGTTCATCTCCAACCATTACATCAAAACTTACACCAAATGAATAGTGTTTAACCATTTTTCCCCTTTTTTTATTCTTTATAATTTAGGCCTTGTTTGATTGGGGTGAATTCCATGGAAATGGAAATCATTTTCCAACTTTTTTGGTGTTTGATTGCATTTCTTTTTCATGGAATTCATTTTCCATGTTTTCCTCGTACATGTGTCATTTTCTTATTTTGGTGGAAAACCAATTCTCACCAAAACGTTGAGAATAGGTTTTCCAACTTTTTTTTATTTTTGTTTTTTTTTATTTTTGGCAATGAGAACAAATTCTAGGAACAATTGTAAAAAATGATATCCCTTAAATTTACAATTTTCATGTAAAACAAAACCAAGCGAACATCAAAATATAGATAATTTTTGGATCTTTTTCTTTTTTTTGGGCAATGGAAATAAATTCTAGGAACAGTTGTAGAAACTGATATCCTTTAAATTGATAATTTTCATGAAAAAATTCAAACGAATACCAAAAGACACTTTTATTTTAACATTTTTTTGGTGAAAAATTATATCAATCAAACACTATTAATTGACAATTCCTACTAAAACAAATTCTAGGCAATTCAATTCCCTTCAGTTCGTTTTCTTTCCATCCAAATTTCATCTTTACAATTAAATTAACCCTTATTTATTTGAAATATTATTTATTTAAGTTATTTTATAAATACATAAATTATTAAATAAATAATTACATTAAATTACGGAAAAGATTAAATTCATTAATAAATATAAAAAACATAGTACAATTAATAAAAAAACACTACAACAAGGAAAAAATATTAAATCATGCCATCAAAAAATAGTAGATTATCGTATGTATGTTATCGTTTACTAAATTATGCACTTTTTTATATATTATTTTATTCCAGATTACTAAACTGTGCACTTTTTTTATGTATCATTTTCTTTAAATAAAATTAGATTATCGTATGTACATCGTCGTTTAATAGATTTCGTGTTAACTTTAATAAATAATCATGTTTGTTATATTTTAAATTTTCTTCTTCTTTTAATTAATTCATTAATTATTATTTCTTACATTTAAAATTTATTTTAAATGAAAATAATAATAATAATTTATTGTATTAAAAAATATATAGCACATATGACACAAATACTCTTCATTAATTTATTTGGAAAAGGATAAAAAAGGACAAAAAGACTTTGGCCACTTTGTGCAAAGTATAGTGTTTCATTGGAGCTCCTTTGCACGAAAAAATGGTGCATTTTGGTGTTTTGGTGTTCACATTGGAGATGGCCTTAGCATATCCCTTCTCTTGCAAGATATATCTAGTCAAGACTGTGTCAAAAATGTATAGTATCCACTTCATGTGAGCTTTGCATTTGTCGACTCGTGAAAATTATCGTGAAAACATATGATTGCATTAATGAAATTGTTGGAGAAGAATGTTTTGGGGTGCATCAGCTATAAATTGCATAATGAGTCAACAAATCTTTTCATTTGATACATGTGTTGTGCTTTTTTGAGACCTACTTTGCTACAACATATATGCATATCCTAAGACAGAGTGAACCTGCCATTTTGGGAAACTATATTCATCTAGTTAATTGAACTCACTATGCATAAAAGTGGTACTTATGGAAGCTGTTCAATAAATATAATGTGATGGCAAGAATAATGAAATTAGGTATTATTAGTCCACAAAAGCCACTGGACACCGCCTTCAAGACTCCTCATTTCTTGAAAGCTTATTTTATATCCTTCGGTGAAATCGGGAGTTTAACCCAATATTCTAAGACCCTGTTTGGCTCCCTTTCCATTACATTTCATTTTTCTTTCTTCTAATTTCAACCACACAATCTTCCGTAAAATAATATTACACGTAAATCGAAAACTTTCCCTTCTTTTTCAACCACTCGTTTTTCAAAAAAAAGCTATTCCACCCATTTTTATTTCCAAAAAATGGGGGCCAAAGGAGGGCTAAGCTTCAAATTCACTGCCAACAAATTTGCCAATTAAGTAGACTACTATTGAACTCAGTTGTAAGTTGGCCCTCTTTAAATAGGATGTAGCTGAGGAATTGATCCGGCTCTGCCCTAGATTTCACATATTAGAAAACATAAATAGTTTAACACGATTTACATGGACAGATGTAATTTTTTGCACTGAAATATTAACCCTGTGGGAAAATTTCAGTAAGATGTCTGATGTGTTTTGTTATACTGTGATGTTTGTTGTGCTCTTTCTGATATAAAGCAACTTGCTCTTTTTGTCTAATTCAGGCATCTAGTCCGTTGCAAGTGAAGTACGCTGATGGCGAGTTGGAAAGGCTAGGTCTAATATAATTTTCATTATTGTGTTGCATGTTTTCTTGTGATGCTTCTGTAAATAAAGGCGGTGCTAGATCTCCTTCCTTTTGAATTCCTAATATCCTTTCAAATTTCTATATTGTCTTGCCGTTACATGATTTTTTTTTTATTAATATCTTTTGTTTGTTCTGTCTTATCCTTTTCTTTTTTCTGTTTTTTTTTTTTCCATTAAACAAAAAAATTCAGAACACAAACTCTTTATTGGTATGCTTCCAAAAAACGTATCCGATGCCGAGGTCTCTGCTTTATTTTCGGAATATGGAACCATAAAGGACTTGCAAATTCTGAGAGGTTCTCAGCAAACTAGCAAAGGTAACTGTTGCATTTCCCAACTTTTCCTCCTTCTTTATGGCTTGATATTTGCGTAGCACAGAGAGCAAAGTGACCCAGTTTTCTTATTACGAGTAAGCTATAATCAAACAGAACCTCTTGTAGGTTGTGCTTTTCTGAAGTTTGAAACGAAAGAACAAGCGCTTGCAGCCATTGAAGCCCTTAATGGGAAGCATAAGATGGAGGTGCGTGTTAAAATTTACCTGTTTGTTTGGATCCTTCTGTATGAAATCTTGTAGTGTAGTTTTGAATTTTTGATACTAACATACTAAGGAGACTTATAGTCAATCTGGGACTGAGATCGACTCAAGGATCTGATAACAGTTTTGTGCATAATGCATAGGGATTCTCATTGATGTTTGCTTGATAATACATGCTCTTGATGTTGTCCAAGGTCGAAAGCATGTCTTAAAAGTGCATATACTGTATAATCACTGGGGATGAAGTTTTCATTTTGAGATTAGGTTATGTGCTTTTTGGATTCAGTACTCGTAATGGATGCATATTCTCCTATGCAAGTGGTGTTTGGAGTCAAATAGATTGTCCTTGGGAATTAGAGGCGTCCTGTGGTCGTCATTTTATGGCCTATAAGGTCGGCTTAGTAATTACTGGTACTCAGAATATAGTAGTTCAGAATGTAGTGTCCAAACCATTTTGCATTATTGGCTGCTGGTGAATTCCGTTATGCTAATATCATTAACTTCTGTAATAGGGTTCAACTGTCCCTTTGGTGGTCAAGTGGGCAGATACAGAAAAGGAAAGGCAAGCTAGGAAGGCTCAGAAAGCTCTATCACAAGTGTCTAGTGTGCCAAATGCTGACTCAAGACACCATACATCTTTATTTGGCACTTTACCCATGGGATATATGCCCCCGTATAATGGATATGGGTATCAGGTTTGTTGGTTTGTATATTTCAGGAAAAGCCTTGAATGTTGCCATGTGTGCTCTCTGTTGGAATACTAACTTCATGCTTTGTATTTTCTTTTATTTCTGGATTCCCTTCTCTTTTTAATACTGGCAGTTGATGCTGAAGGAACATTTATGTCAATTTCTGCTCGCCTTTGTAGACTCCAGGGGCTTATGGGCTCTTGCAGTATCGCCTACCACCGGTGCAGAATCAACATGCCTTTCACAATCTAATTCCACCCGTAAACCAAGGCAATGCTATGCGTGGTGTCACTCATGATCTTTCATCCGGAATGGCCCCAAGAAATTATACCATGTCACCTACAAGTTTTCTGGGACCTCCCTACCAAGCTTTGCCAGGCGTTCAATATCACATGCCATATGGAGGAATCACAAGTAACAGGCCTATCTCAGTATCCCCTGGTTCTATATCTCCCACTGCAAACAGTCAATCTGCAGCATCTTCAAGTGTCAATACAAGTTCTGGGGGTCAGGTTGAAGGTTGGATTTCTTAATCAAGTACATTTTTGTAGTTCAGCTATTGTTATGTAAATATATGCATAAAACATGTCTCTGCTTGTACATGTGTGTGCATACGAATGCATATAATGTGTTTGTGTGTGTACAAGCATGTACTAAGATGTGGGTGCACACTCTTATTCATGGACAATCTTTTGGAAAGCAGGTCCACCTGGAGCTAATTTATTTATTTACCATATTCCTCAAGAATTTGGTGATGAAGAGCTTGCAAATGCCTTTCAGCGATTTGGTAGGATCTTGAGTGCCAAGGTTTTCGTTGACAAAGCAACAAGTGTCAGCAAATGTTTTGGTATGCTTTCTTTAAATTACCATTTATCTGATACAAGTACTGCTTATGTTTATACTTCGATCAAATTATATCTGCAGGATTTGTCAGCTACGATTCCCCATCAGCTGCTCAGAATGCAATAAACATGATGAATGGCTGCCAATTAGGTGGTAAAAAATTGAAGGTTCAACTTAAAAGGGATAACAAACTGAATAAACATTATTGACTTTAGTGTAAGTACTGGAAGGAAGCTGATTTCTGCAGCATGAATGATCAAGTGAGCTCAAACCGCCAAAGTTACTGCAGTTTGAGCCATTCTATTCCAATTAGACATGAGCTCAAAACGTCAAAGTTACTACTGCAGTTGTATTCCCATTCCATTCTTGTGGAATTGAAGTCCCCGAAACTTGTAGTTCATGTTTATTTCTGTACAATTGTATTTGTATTTGTGTAACATGGAATACAAATTAGACAATGCTTATTAATTTATTGATTCTTATTACGGAGGTGTTTGTTGTATAGCTTCTTTGAAACTTTCCTTTAGTGTTTCTCTTTGGAACTTCCCGATTCTAATTAAGGTGTAACAATACTTGCCTACTTTGTGTGATCTCACAAAACACCCTGCAACCATCCCTTGCTCCGTCACTTTTCTTGTTCCAAATCTTTCATAAGAGATTGTAGATTTTGTAAAGTTACTGCAAGAGGCAAGTAGTTTGTTGAATTGGATCCGTTCAAGTTTGAACTTGGGTGCAGTGTTCTATCTTTTCATTCTGTTAGTTGTCCTTTGTTCTGCCTTTAATCTTCAGGCGCATCACAACTAGTGTGTACGGTGATTTGTGTTGTGTTTAGATGATAGCATTGGTTATGATTTGCCCATTCAGACCTATTTTCATGGGCCATTGGATGTGAGTGGATCCAGCACGGTGCATAGTTTGTAAATTTTTTCACAATTTTGTTGCTATGATGACTACGATTATTATTGTTATTACTTTCTGGCTTAACCGTTTCATTCGATTTCAGGATCTCAAAGATGCATCTTCGGATTAGGTGTTGGTCTTCAGTCTCCACTGTCCCCCTGCATTGAAGATCCCTATATCCTCTCTGCTTTCAGATGGTAGTTCTGTGTTCAATATATCTTGGCATGTATCTGTTGCCATTTCCCCAGGGAAGCAACTGGGAAAAAATAAAAGATAAAAAAAAAAATAGAACGCCCATCTTTCTTGTTAATAATTACTGGGAGACAAGATATGTACTTTCCTTCAATTAACAATTTGCATCTGTTGCTGATAAATGAATTATGTTTGTCTATCTCAACAGAAATAAATGTTTTTTAATACATTTTTGTTACTTACTTTTTCAAGAAAATATATGAATCCCAACCCAATTTATTTGGAATAGAACTTAAGTCATGTTTAGGAAGTGTTTATAGATGTTTTAAATTATACTAGTCGATGCCACATGCGTTGCATGATTATTGTATTTAATATGTTTTTATTAGCGTGATGTAGAGATTTTAGTTTTCTTGTCATAATTCTAACATGTTTTTGAAGTTTGAATTAAATTTTTTAGCATGAATTTTCTCTGGCAATTAGTAAAAATTAGATTTAAAATTGTGGAAATATAAGTAAAAGATAATTTATAATTTTATAGGAATCCCGCACGCGGTCGTGCGGAGTCCACACCAATTTCGTGTGGGGAAGTCCTCGCACAGTCTATGCGGGGACTCCGCACCAATTCCGTGTTGGGAAGTCCTCGCACAGAATGTGCGGGGACTCCGCACCATTGCTACAAGAAGTCATACTTCACGGGTTCTAGGTGTTTGCATCCTCAAAGTGATTAAGAGAACTAATATCACCAAAATTCAACAAAAATGAGAATATTTATTTGTATAAGCAATGGATGAAAAGTGGAAATAACTTCCTAAAAAATGAAATGTACAGCTATCAACATTGAGAAAAAACACGCAATATATAATCATATTGTGTTGTTGGCTCATTTTCAATTAATTACTACCAAAAAGTTTAGCAACGAGAATTCTATAGGCACAGATAGAGATTCAAATGGTCTGTCCAATCACTTTACCATGCTCTGTTTAAACCTATAACTAAAATTTAACAGAAATCATTTGCAACTATTAACTAAAATAACAAAATCCCTTATACTTGGAGCAATTCAATCATTGTCACCAAACTTATCTGCTTAACCTAATCATTCATCGATTTCTTGCTAATTTTTTTAGTCCTACATTTTTCTGCTTCAGGTGCCAAACCATAGCCGAAAAAATTAATCTATATTTCATTTTTTTTTTGTTTTTTCCTCTCTGTTTTCTGTTGATCTTATGGCCAAAAATTTAATATAAAAAGATCTATACAAACTGAAAATACACACATTCTTAATATGCATAAAGTATGAATAAACCCATATAAAGAGTCCCAACAAAAAATAAAGTTGAAAATAAATAAAAATGCATATTTTTTCCCTAGTTGATTCTAAAAATAAAAAAAATAAAAATAAAAATAAAAAAATCAAGACTTCTTTTTTGCAGCACATATCAAAAGTCTATTCACGATATCATCAGAACAATCATCAACAAACAAAACCCCTACACCCAAAATTAAAGAAATGACGAAAATTCAAACATCTAACACATAAATTTAGGGATTAAGATAAGATAAGTTCATACCTTCAAAATTATTCGGTGTTAAAACCCAAAAAGTCCTTGCACAGTCTGTGCGGGGACTCCATACCAAGATTGCTACAAGAAGCCATACTTCACGATTTTTGCCGAGATTGCTAATGCATGAGATACACAAGAGACATAAATGAATTAACAAGCTAATAAGCATTTTAACTTACATTAAACCAAGAATATACCTCTCTATTCACACAAAAATCTAAAATTGTGAATCGAATAAACAAAATTATAATTATCAGATAAAATCGAGGATATTACCTCTCTATTCACTCGAAATCAAAAATTTTGCACGTAGAATCTTGAATAAACAAAATCATAATCTAAGAAAAACGGCATGCTAGGATTTATCTCTCTATTTACGAGATTTTTGTATAAAGAGATTAATCACAGAAAAAAACGAGAGAATAATTGAAGAAGAAGTGAGAGAAGAAAATGATGATGATGAAGAAGAAAGCTTGTGTCTGGGTTTGCGTGGGGAAATGGCTTTACCATCCTTTTGAGTAAGAAAAAATGGGTATGACTGATATCTACAGTGAAATCACTGTTTAGTTACAGTAGAAGTCTTGAACATTATTGCCACTACAGTGAATTTTATTCATCTTTCTATACGTAGTTAAATATACATGGAAATAAGCGGTGAATAAGTGGATGGTAATCACTGGCGGACCCACATGGGGTCATGTGGAGTCAAATGACCTCACAATTTTTCGAATTTTCTTCTTTATTTATTTATTTTTTCCTTACTTAAAACGTAATTTTCTGTCAAAGTAATGAGTCAACCCAATTAATTTTCATAGCCCAATGCCCAAAAAGGCTCAAACCCAAATCCTATTGTAATAGCATATGATCTTATTTTCGTTAATAATACGTTGTTCGAAAAAAAATTTCATTTTTGACCCTACAGTTCAAACTGTCTGAGTCCGCCCCTGATAGTAATTGTATGTACCCACAGTATGTGGATAAAAAATGGCTCGTGTTTTTGTAAACATGAGTTTAGTTAGTTGTAGAGGGGCTACTTTGGTGGCACACTTTACTATATTCTTTTAGCTGGGTAATCTTGTTATATGTATAGGCATGTCATAGCGAGACATTGTTACCGCTTTGGCTCGTTCATATCGTCATTTTTAACTCCAGCTGAGTAATCAGTCAACATTTGTTCGGGAGTGAGAGATTTCATTAATTGGTTTGATGTGTATTTTTGGCCATGTATCATTAACTATTTGCCATAGGTAGCACTGTTGTACATAAATAGTAATCTGCAATGCCAGTTAATGTGTTGTCTTGCAGCACACGTGGGACATTCTTCTTTTTATTACGTTTTGGGTTTTGTGCTCAAGACTAAGCCCTTGTTCAACACTCGCTCATTAAAATTTTAATACATTTTTCTCTCTTATTTTCAATCACATTTTTTAATAAAATAATATTACACGTAAATCAAAAAATTTCCTTCCTTTTTAAACCACGAATTTTCCCAAAAAATATTATTTCAGATACATTTTACCAAAATTTATCATCATAATGGGTGTCAAACTAGGGCTTTATATAAATAAATAAATGTGTTCCAGATGTTGAAACATAATTGAAAGGGAAAAATATGTTAAAATTTTATTTGAGGGAATTACTAGAAATGTCCACTTTCACATATTTATTTCCAAAAATGTCTAGCATTGCAAATCCTTGCAAAAATGTCCATTTTGGAATAACTTGAATCAAAATACTCTTGTCAACAATTTATGATTCCACGCAAAGATAAAAAAGACATTTTTGCAATTAAAAATTTTATTGACCAATAAAATTTTGACACATAACTTGCCCTATTTATTTTAAAAGTGAACATGTCAAATCATAATAAATGCTATTTTTCTTATTGACACAGAAATGACGAGAACTACATTTCAAATGTAAAGAAATGTCATGTTCGAAATGAAATATCATTCTAGACATCTAATATGTCGAGAACAGCATTTAAAATGTTGAGAACATTTAATGTTGAGATTTAACATGTGTATTTTTGAAATATAAACAGAGTTCAAATATCGAGAACGACATTTGAAACGTGGAGAACATCATTTTAATGTAACTTATAAAAAAGCTAAATAAACAGTAACATAATTTAACTCCTCAACTTTCTATGTGATGTTACCGAATACTGTTCCCGACGTATACAAATCCGAGGACTCTATTTCGTCGATTTATGTATCAGTATGCTCGGGATATATGTGCTCGGGATGTCTTTCACATGCCCAAGCTCTTGACCCAAGAGTTTGTGGAACGTCATTCGACGTGTCCTCGGGATTATGTCCTCGACATGTCCTCGGCGTCAACGCCTTATCCAATAAGAAATTTATTTTGACTTAAACTCCTCAACCTATGTCTTCTATGCCCAGAAGAACTCTATTAAATAATTGGTATCCCAGTTATACCACAATTCAAACTCCTATCTCGCGTAGGACTCATTGGTATAAGATTGCAAAATCAAGCTGTCCTATTACAAGTGCACTACGGAATCCTAGTATGAACACACCACCTACCTCTATAAATACAAAGCCCTTGATCATTATTCAGGTACGTTTTACATAATTTTCAGTTCATAGCCTTATGCACAAATTCTCTCTCTGACTTAAGCATCGAAGGGGCAACGAGGACACACCTCGACGCCTTTGTTTCAATTACTGGAAGATCTCGTTCATGCTCATTATCAGTCGTCGAGTTCGAAAAATCAACAGGTACGATTTTTGGCAGCATCATTGGCGCCGTCTATGGGAAGCGCTACCAAAAGCCATGGTAAACACACGTTTAGGTCTTCCACCAGCAAGCTCATCCGCT